GTCCGCGGGGCTCACTGATGCCAGGGGACCTCTCATTAGAGTCATCTGTTCATGTTGCTCGCGTCCTTGCATGAGGCAGGACACGCCCACACACACCCATCCCAGACAGAAACGGGGTCCAGAATCAGATCATGTGCCCTTAGCCCTGCCTCAGGGCTGAGTGACAAGAAAAACCCAAAAAAAGCAAACCTCTTGCAGTTGAGTCGATTCGGACTGATAGCGACCCACAGGACAGAGTAGAACTGCCCTATGGGGTTTCCAAGGCTGTAATGATTACGGAAGCAGTCTTTCTCCCAAGAAGCCGCTGGTGGATTCGAACCTCTGACCTTTCGGTTAGCAGACAAGCATTTTAACCGCTGTGCCACTGGGGCTCCTTCTGAGTGAGTGTCAAGAGCGACTTGTAATTATACCTCCCTCACTGTTTATTTAATAAGCCCTGATGTCGTGTTTCCTGTGGGCCTTTGCTAAGTGCTTTGCAAATATTTCTTATCTCCTTTTTTTTCTTTAATTAATATTTCATTTTATTTTTGGTGAAAGTATACCCAGCACTCCCATTCCACATTTTCTAGACATAACGATCAGTGGTGTTGGTTACATTCTTCGCATTGTGTCAACATTCTCCTTATTTCTGTTCTAGTTGTTTCACTCCCATTGACTTAAACTCTCTGCCTCCCAGCCTTCTCATCTATGCTTTGAAGTAGCTGTTGGCCCAGAGCTACCACAGCCTCCACCAGATTGAGTCCAGCACAACTCAATGGTGGCCAGCCACCACCACCAACTGCTCTAACAGGGATCACAATACAGGGTCCCACACAGAGCTGGAGAAAAATGTAGAACAAAATTTGAACTCACAAAAAAAAAAAAAAAAAAAAAAAAAAAAAAGGACCAGACTTACTGGTCTGACAAAGATTGGAGAAACCCCAAGAGTATGGCCCCCGACACCCTTTTAGCTCAGTACTGAAGTCACTCCTGAGGTTCACCCTTCAGCCAAAGATTAGACAGGCCCATAAAACAAAATGAGACTAAATGGGCACACCAGCCCAGGGGCAAGGACTAGAAGGCAGGAGGGGACAGGAAAGCTGGTAATAGGGAACGCAAGGTCGAGAAGGGGAGAGTGTTGACGTGTCGTGGAGTTGGCAACCAATGTCACAAACAATATATATATTAATTGTTGAATGAGAAACTAGTTTGCTCTGTAAACCTTCATCTAAAGTACCAAAAGAAAATTTTTTTTTAATTAACGAAATAAAATAGCTGTTGTCCATTTGGTCTCATATGGTTTTTAAGAATGCGATACTCAAGGCTGACAATCTTTACTTTTTGAGCTAAACTGTCACTTAGTTTAAAGGTGACTTCAGGGGATATTGTCAATTCAAGGTTTGAAGAGCAACTCTGTGCCAAAGTCTTGGGGAATCTTCTAGGCTCATTGGGTCCAGTAAGTCTGGATTTTTTGAGAATTTGAAGTTCTGTTCTATATTTTTCTCCCTTTCTATCAGGATCCATCTACTGTGACCCTGATCAGAACATTTGGTAGTGGTAGCTGGGCACCATCGAGGTCTGGTCTCAGGGTGGAGGAGTCTGTGGTTCATGGAGACAGTTAGCCCTGTCGTCGGGTTCCTTCTCTGATTCTTGGGTTTCCTTCTTTCTCTTTTGTTCCAGACAAATAGAGACCAATAGTTGTATCTTAGATGGCCACAATATTCCCTAATTTTTATAACAATCTTAGGAATAGGGTGCTATTATTATTCTCTTCTTACAGATAAGGAAACTGAGGTACAGAAGGTTAAGTGACTTACCCAAGGTCACACAGTCAGTAAGTGTCCGAGTTGGGATTTGAACCTAGGCAACCTGTGCCCTGTATGCCTCCATGCTGTACTGCCTTGCATGACAGGGCAACATTCCTGTTTTAGAAATGAGAAAATTTATTCCTGTTTTAGAAATGAGAAAACAAAAGGTAATCTGAAAAATCAAAACATGTTCCCACAGAAACTTGTACATGAATGTTTATAGCAGCATTATTCACAAGAGCCAAAAGGTGGAAAAAACCCAAAGGGGTAATAAAATGATGAATAGGGAAATAGATGATGAGTGGGTAAATAAAATGTGGTATATCCAAACAATGGAATATTATTCAGCCATAAAAAGGAAGGAAGTACTGATTGACGCTACAATGAGGCTGAACCTTAGACATGCTAAGTGAAAGAAGCCAGTCACAAAAGACCACATACTGTATAATTCCATTTATATGAAATGTCCAGAATAGGCAAATCTATAGAGATAGACAATAGAGGGGAAGGGGCCCTAGGGGCACAGTGGTTAAGCACTCAGCTGCTAACCAGAAAGTCAGTGGTTTGAACGCACCAGCAGCTCCACGGAAAAAAGCCCTGGCAAACGGCTCCCATAAGGATTTCAGCCTAGGAAACCCTATAAGGCAGTTCTGCTCTGTCCTGTAGGGTCCCTATGAGTTGGAATCGACTTCATGGCACACAACAACAACAGAGAGAGGGGGTATTTATAGGGTATTGGGGAGTGACGAAAATGTTCTGAAATTGATTATGTTGACAACGCGCGACTCTGTGAATATACAGAAAGGCATTGAATTGTACACTTTCAATGAGTGAATTGTATGGTGTGTGAATTTTACCTTGATAAAGCTGTTTAAAAATAAGATAGGCCAAAGAGAGTTATAGGTTTCACAGAAAGGTGTGAGAGAAAGTACGTTACTGTTAATATTTTATTTTATTTTTGTTGTTGTTGAGAATATATACAGCAGAATCTTCATCAGTTCAACAATTTCTACATGTACAATTTGGTCACATTGATTACATTCTTAGAGATGGGCAACCATGTACGCTCTTCTGAGTTGTTCCTCCCCCATTAAACATAAACTCACTGCCCTAAGTTCCCAGTCTGATCTTTTGAGTGGTCAGTTTGATCCCACATAGACAGATCTTAAAAGAGCACAATGCTCAAGGCAGATATTCTTCACTAGTTAAGCTAAACTATTGTTTGGTTTCAAGAAGACGTCAAGGGAAGCTTTTGGTTTAAGTTTCAAGGTTATCTCAGGACAATAGTTTCAGGGGTTCATTCAGCCTCATGGCTCCAAAAAATCTGGATTCCATGAGAATTTAAAATTCTGTTCTGCATATCCCCCCTCATTTTTTTTTAATTTTATTTAATTTTATTGTACTTTATATGAAAGTTTACAATTCAAGTTAGTCTCATACAAAAATTTATATACACATTGTTATGTGACCCTAATTGCTCTCGCTATACTGTGACAGCACACTCCTTTCCACCCCGGATTTCCCGTGTCCATCCAACCAGCTCCTGACCCTCTCTGCCTTCTCATCTCGCCTCCGGACGGGAGCTGCCCATTTAGTCTCATGTATCTACTTGAGCTAAGAAGCACACTCTTCACGAGTATCATCTTATGTCCCATAGTCCAGTCTAATCTTTGACTGAAGAGTTGGCCTCAGGAATTAGCCTCACATTTTAAATTTCTTAAAGTTTATTTGTGATAGGCTTATTTTTATTCATTTATTTTAAGAGGATTCCTTTCTTCCCCCCTAAGTTTTTCTTATGAAAAATTTCAAACATAACAGGTGTGAGTCCCAGGAGTGGTTCGGGAGCCCCCTTCCTCTTCCACACTAGACTTGGCAGGAGCAATACATGGCCACATCTGCTTCATCTCTTCCTCTGTTGTTGGTTGCCATCCAGTTGATTCTGACTCCTGGTGACCCCATGTGTGTCAGAGTAGAACTGTAACCCACAGGCTTCTCAATGGCTGATTTTTCAGCAGTAGATTGCCAGGCCTTTCTTCCGAGGCACTTCTGGGTGGATTCGAACCTCTAGTCTTTTGGTTAGCAGCCAGGCACATTAACCATTGCTCCACTCGGCGACTTCTCTTAGACAGTTGCTTTTTTTTTTTTTTTTTTTCTGAGCAGTTTGAGATTGAAGCCCTGGTGGCACAGTGGTTAAGAGCTCGGCTGCTAACCACAAAGTTTGGCAGTTCAAATCCACCAGCCGCTCCTTAAAAACCCCATGGGGGCAGTTCTACTCTGTCCTATAGGGTTGCTGTGAGTTGGAATCAACTTGATGCTAGTGGGTTTGTTTTTTTTTAATCTTCAGGAATTCTACATGATCACAATTTCATTATCGTACCTTAGACTATTAACAATAATTCCATAATATTATCTAATCTGGACGTGCCTGGGTAGCGCAAATGGTTTGCACTTGGCTGGTAACCAAAAGGTCGGTGGTTCACTCAAATTCCTGAAAAAAAAAAAAAAAAGAGCCAGACCTACTGGACCGGTTGAGAGTGGAGGACTCCCCAGTGCTATTGCCCTGAGATACTCTTCAAACGATGAACCCTGTGGCCAAACAACAAATTGGCTCACAAAATAATGAATTACACCTGTGGGTGCTGTCCTTCTTTAAAAAATCACCTCTATGAGACCAAGTGGTCAACAATTACTTTAAAACAAAGATGAGAATGTAAGTGGGCAGGGAAACTAGATTAATGGAAACAGAAAAACCAGAATGGAAATAATGAGAATGTTCACGCATTGTGAAGAATGTAACCAGTGTCACTGAACACCTTGTGTAGGAACTGTTGAATGGGAACTTAAACTGCTGTGTAAACCTTCACCGAAAACACAATAAAATATTATTAATAAAAAAGGTTGGCTGTTTGAACCCACCCAGTAGAAAAGTCCTGGTAACCTGCTTCTGAAAAATCAGCCATTGACAACTCTGTGGAGCACAGTTTTACTCTGTTGCACATGAAGTCACCATGAGTTGGAATCAACTCGACAGCACACAATAACAACATCTCATCTAGTTCAGGCTCAAATTTCCTTAGTTCCCCTCAAAATTTCTTTTGGAGCTGGCTCTTTTCTGGAATCGGGACCCTGAAAGGCTCCTGCGTTTCCCTGTGGGGCCCCCTCTGCGACACCCTCGCCAGGGAGCTGCCTCACCTCCTGCCTCTCTCTCCCCAGGAGCCCAGGATGTGCGTGTCCGTGTGCTGCCCGAGGTCCGGGGCTACCTGGGGGGCACCGTGGAGCTGCCGTGCCACCTGCTGCCCCCCACCCCCGACGTGCGCATCTCTCAGGTGACGTGGCAGCGCCTGGATGTGGCTGGGGGCACCCCGAACGTGGCTGTCTTCCACCCTTCGTACGGCCCCAGCTTCCCCAGCCTGAAGCCGGGCCAGGATCGGCTGTCCTTCGTCGCGGTCGGGCAGGGCACCGATGCGAAGCTGCAGGATGCCACGCTGGCCTTCAAGGGGCTGACAGTGGAGGACGAGGGCAACTACACCTGTGATTTTGCCACCTTCCCCAATGGCACTATCCGAGGAGTGACCTGGCTCAGAGTGATTGGTGAGCAGGGTGGGGTACGGGGGGTGGTGAGAGGAGATCGGGGCGCAGTGTAGGGGAGCCCCATCTCTGCTTCAGCTGTGACGCTGGCTTGCTATCTGCTCTCCAGTCAGTTGGGAAATCCTCATTGAGCGTCTACTATATGCCAGACACCAGGCAGTGGTGGTTCTGTGGTAGAATTCTCGCTTTCTGTGTGGGAGACGCTGGTTCGATTCCCGGTCGATGCACCTCATGCACAGTCACCACCCACCTGTCAGTGGAGGCTTGCGTGTTGCTGTGATGCTAAGCAGGTTACAGCAGAGCTTCCAGACTAAGATGGACTAGGAAGAAAGGCCTGGTGATCTACTTCCAAAAATCAGCCAATGAAAACCCTACAGAGCACAAGGGTCCCATCCACAGCTGATTATGGGGATGGTGCAGAACCGGTCAGCGTTTCGTTTCATTGTGCATGGGGTTACCAGGAGTCAAGGGCTGACTCCACGCAGCTAACAACAGTATATGCCAGACGCTGTTCAGAATGCTGGGGATATAGCAGTCAACGAGGCATTCATCCAACAAATATTTATTGAGCGCCTACACAGACAATTCCTTGCCCTCATGGAACTTACAGTCCAGTGAGTTGGCACCAGAGAGTAAATAACATACGTAAGAAAAATGAAGAGGATGTCAGGTGGTTATAGGTGCTATGGGAGAAGGAACAGGAAGGTGGAGAGAGGTGGGCAGCTTGCAGTTGCAGCTTGGGAGGTCTGGGAAGGTGATAGTTGAAAAAAGACCTGAAGGAGATGAGGGAGCCCGGTGGGTAACACGGGGGATAGTGTTCCAGGCAGAAGAACGGCAAGTGTAAAGGCCCTGAGGCAGGACACCTGGAATATTTGCAAACATACAGGAAGTCAGTGTGGCTGAAGATGTATGACTTGGGGAGAGTGGGAGGAGAGAGATCAAGGAGGTGACAGAGACCATGTGCAGCCTCGTGGACCACAGTGCCTTTGGCTCTTGCCCTGAAACGGTAGCTAGGGGAGGTTCTGAGCTGAGGAAGCATGTGACCCAGCTTGGGTTTTTCACAGGCTCCCAGCTGTGTGCGGTGGGACAGGAGGGTGAGGGTGGAAGCTGGGACACACGGAGGAGGCGACTGCAGTCATCCAGGCAGGAGTTGATGGGGACTAGACCAAGGTGGAGGCAGTAGGGGTGGCGAGAAAAGCTCAGATGCTGGAAATATTTTCGAGGTAAAACCAGAGAATAATCGAACAGGAAACAAAGGGGGAACTAGTGTGTTGTAATACTCACTTAAAATAAGGGGGACCTGGTGACCTAATCGAGATGAAATGGTCAGGGAAGGTGTCTGACAAAAGGACATTTTCATCACATCCTGATGTGTCAGGAGGAGCCATCTGAGGGCACCGCAGAGGAGGGGGTGTCCAGGCAGAGGGAACAGCATGTACAGAAGCGGGGAGGTGGGAGCGAGTTTGACACACTCCAGGAATGGAGAGGAGACCAGTATAGTCCTTTCCTAGGGCTGCCCTAACAAGTACCACCAAGCGGGTGGCTTGTAAGAACAAATTTATTGTCTCACAGTTCTGGAGGTGGGAGTCTGAGAGCAGGGTGTCGGCCATGTTGGTTCCTTCTGAGGCCTCTGAGGGACAATCTCTTCCATGTGTCTCTTCCAGCTTCTGGTGATGGCGGGCGATTGCGGTGTTCCATGGTGTCATGGACTGAATTGTGTCCCCCCAAAAAATGTGTGTAGCACCTTGGCTAGGTCATGATTCCCAGTATTGTATGATCATGTTATCTGAGGTGATTTCCATATGTGTTGTAAACTCTACCACTATGATGAGATTATATGTGATCTCCTCATGTGTTATAAATTCTATCACTGTGATGAGGTTATACTGACGAGGTTAACAAGATTAGTGTCTTAATGCAATCTCTTTTGAGATATAAAAGAGAGAAGTGAGCAGAGACACATGGGAACCTCATACCACCAAGAAAGCAGTGCTGGGAGCAAAGCACGTCCTTTGGACCTGAGGTTCCTGTGCAGAGAAGCTCCCAGACCAAAGGAAGACTGATGACATGGACTTTCCTCCAGAGCCGATGGAGAAAGCGTTCCCCTGGAGCTGATGCCCTAAATTTGGACTTGTAGCCTACCGGGCTGTGAGAGAATAAATTTCTCTTTGTAAAGCCATCCACTTGTATTTCTGTTGGAGCAGCACTAGATGACTAAGACACATGGCTTGTAGATACGTCACTCCAATCTCTGCCTCAGTCTTCCCATGACTGCCTTCCCTCTGTCTCTCTCCATATCTCTCCTCTTTTCTAAGGACACCAGTCATATTGGATTAGGACCCACCCTACTCCAGTATGACCTCGTGGTAACTGAACTGATAACGTCTTCCAAGACCCTCCTTCCCAACAAGGCCACGTTCACAGGTGCCAGAGGTTAGGACTTAAGCATATCTTCCCGGGGGACACAATTCAACCTCTAACGGCCAGTGAGATTGATGAGGCTGGCTGAGGGATTGAGTGACCCTCAGTGACTCAGGAGAACTCATGGGCCAGATTGCATGGGCCTCATAGGCCAAGGTGAGGAGGTTGAATTTCACCCTGAGGACCATTTGGAGACATCAGAGGGGTTCAGACTACAAGAGGGACCTGACCCGATTGTTGACATTATAAACAGATGAGTGGCTGCTGTTTGGAGGGCCGTTGGAGGGATGGACAAAGAAGAAGGAAATGGAGCAAAGTAGAAGGTGAGGGAGAGAATTGTCTTGGAAGAGGGAGGAAGTAATGGAGGTCAAGAGAAGTAGGTAGAAGAAAGATGCTTTTTTGGAGCTAGAAGGCGCTGGACTTGTCCATGGAGGAGAAGGACCAGGGAGAAACCCCAGCCTTCTGGCTCCAGCAGGGGGATATCCAGCACAGCCACAAAGCAAAATGGGGAAGACTTACAAAGGTATTTTTTCAAGGGATGCCCGTTTGTCTTAGTCATCTAGTGCTGCCATAGCAGAAATACCACAAGTGGATGGTTTTAATGAAGAGAAGTTTATTTCCTCATAGTCAAAGTAGGCTAAAAGTCCAAATTCAGGGCATCAGCTCCAGGGGAAGTCTTTCTCTCTCCGTCAGCCTTCTCATCAGTGTTCCCCTGGACTAGGTCCGAAGGACGCGCTCTGCTCCTGGCACTGCTTTCTTGATGGTGTGAGGTCCCCCTGTCTCACTGCTCACTTCTGTCTTTTATATCTCAAGACATTGCCTCAGGATACAATTCAGTCTTCTAGAGTGAGTCCTGCCTTACTAACACAACTACCACCCATCCTCCCTCATTAACGTCATAGAGGCAGGTTTACAACATACAGGAAAATCACACAGTACCAGGAATCATGGCCTAGCCAAACTGATACACACATTTTTGGGGGGACATAATTCAAACCATGACGCCGTTCTTGCTAAATGTCAGGAAGGAGCACCCCCTTGGGATTCCCCTGAGATCCCACCTTCCCCCAGCAACTTCCCAGAAGCCAAGTCACTTAGGACACTTGATTTTCCCCTTCTCAGCCCCAGAGAGTCTGAGAAGTCCACGCTGAGCCATCTCTGAGTAAACGCTTCCCTTTCCAAGGAGCCCAGAAACCACTGTTGTTTTCTATTATTCAGAGCACAGCTTAAAAGTCTCTCTTCACGTACAGTTATTTGTTCTGTGCAAGAGGTGACTTAGAGAACATTCACTACGCACCAGACGTGTATGAAAGGTCCCTGGGTGGTACAAACCATTTACACTTAAGTACTAACAAAGAGGTGGGTGGTTCAAACCCACCCACTGGTGCCGTGGAAGAAAGGCCTGGCGATCTGCTTCTTTTAAGATTACATCCAATGGAGCAGTTCTACAATGTAACACATAGGGTTACCATGAGTTGGAATTGACTTGTTGGCAATGGATAGGCATGTACGGGTACTGGGGAAGAGGCGGAACACAAAACAGCCAAGTGTCCGCCCTAACGGAGGGAACAAGTGATGTATGGGCCACTAACAGGAGACGGGACGGAGCCTGAGAGGTCAGGGAAGTTCCCTTGAGGAAGTGAGGCTTGGGCTTGGATTTGAAGAATGAAGAAGAGCAGGGTGAGGAGAAGAGGAGGCCTGGGCATCCCAGGCAGAGGAGACGGAACACACAAGGACACCAAGACCCTGTGCTGGGGGTGGGGGGACACCGACCAAGGGGAGCATGGGGGGTGGTGCCTGGGGTGGTTGGCAGAAGATGAACTGTGCTGGGCTTTGTGGGCCATGGGAGGCGTCTAAAAGGATGTGGTCACGGTTGGCTCTGGAGCCTCACTCTGGCTATTGTGGCGACAGATAGGAGGAGCAGACAGGGAAGACATAGGGAGGCCTGTTGGAGGCTCTGCAGGGGTTAGGGGAGGGGGCTGTGGGAGAGGAGAAGAGAGAAGGGAAAGGCCATACCACAGTTGAGGACATCCCCAGATGGAGAGTCCTGAAGGCACGTGGAGACCTGCGTCAGAGCTCAGAGGGCAGTCTGGGTTAGGGTGACACATCCGTAAGTGAGAGCTGGTATTATTATACTATTCCTCTTGGAGGTTTTGTTGTTGGTTTTTCCCTACCATTTTCCATGTTTTCCAGAACAGGGTGAAAGGGCAGAAAACAAGCAGCTTTGGAAGGCTCTGTGGCCTTTATCCCACTTCCAGCACCACACACTAATGCTAATTACAGGAAGAGAAGGGAGGGGGTCTTTCCAGCTGGACCTTTGAGCCACATTATTCTGCGCTGGGGTTTTCTTTTTTATTGTTGTAAAATTGGCTTTTCTTTTTCAATCCTAGCCTCTTGGATCCTGTCTCTGCTTTTCTGGCTGAGCAGGAGCAATCATACCGTATCACGGCTAACACGTATATAGCACAGTATGTGCCAAGCACGGTCCTAAATGCTTTACGTAGTCATTTATTGAATCCACACGACAGTCCCATGGGGTGGGCACTTTCTGATCCCCATTTGACAAAAGAGGAAACTGAGGCACCAAGTTTGAGTTACCCAAAGCTACACAACGGCTGAGCAGCAGAACTGGGACTGGAACCCAGGCAGGTGTTTGTTGAGTGGCTGCAGGCGCGAGATGACCAGCCCACTCTGTCCTCTCTCCCAGCCCAGCCCCAGAACCACGCCGAAGCCCAGGAGGTCACACTCAGCCTGGAGCCCATGCCAGTGGCCCGCTGTGTCTCCAGAGAGGGCCGCCCGCCTGCCCGCATCTCCTGGTCTTCGTCCCTGGCCGGGGAGGCCACTGAGAGCCAGGTGCCAGGATCCCTGCCTGGCACCTTCACTGTCACCAGCCGCTTCACCCTGGTGCCCTTGGGCCAAGTAGACGGCGCAAAGATCACCTGCAAAGTGGAGCACGAGAGCCTCAAGGAGCCCGCCCTGCTGCCCGTGACCCTCACTGTGCGCTGTGAGTACACCAGGTTGTGACCCACCCCCACTAACACTGTCTACACTGGCGCCTCTCAGGCATTGTCTACACTGTCCCTGAACGTGGGCTTCATTGGTTCCCCTGAGCCGCATTCTGCACTGCCTTCCTCGCATTGTCTACACCAGCTCTCCTGAGCGAGTGTCTATACTGTCCCTTCATTGTCTACACTAACTTCCCTGGACAACATCTCCACTACCCCTCATAGTCTACACTGGTTTCTTTTAGTCCTCACATTGTCTACAGTGGCTTCCCTGAGCTCTCTCTATTCTGACCTCAACCAGTGGTATGCCAGAATGGGCTTTCAAGAGCCAATTTTGTATATTTCTTCCCAATTCTACTTTCAGTGAAGTTATACTGGTAGCTTGAAATCAACCATGGGGTCCCTATTTACACCTAGGAAATTGGCAAACACTACAAATGAGGGCTTTTTTTTTCTTGCAGAGAGCCAGTTTACTAGCACAGCAGTGCCCCTGACATGATCTATGCTGGCTTCCACGGATGCCAGTCGGTGCTGCACCCTTACTTTCTATATCAGCTACCCTGGGCCATGGTCTACACTGCCTACCCCAACATTATCTACATAGCCCCCTACATTGTCTAAATTGGCTTCCCTGGGTACTGTCTGCACTGACTCTCCTAGGGTCTCCACACTGACCCCTACCCCCCAATATAATTTTCATTGTCCCCCCAAGCCCTGTCAATAGTGACCCTTCCCAATGTGTTCTGTACTAGCTCTTCCAGAAACTGCCTATACTGACACCCCCTAATGTTACCCACGGAGCCCTGATGGCACAGTGTCTAAGCTCTTGGCCGCTAAACGAAAGGTCAGTGGTTCAAACCCACCAGCAGCTCCTCGGGAGAAAGATGTGGCAGTCTGCTTCCATAAAGAGTACAGCCTTGGAAACCCTGTAGGGCAGTTCTACTCTGTCCTATGGAGTCGCTAGGAGTTGGAATCGACCTGACAGCAGTGGGTTTGGTTTTGAATGTTACCACTGACTCTCCTTGACCGTCTCCACATGAACCCTGCCAAATATGGACTTTACCGGCTCTCCTAATCACTGTCCAAATTTACCCTACCCCCCAATTCAACATTACCGACACTGGCTTCCCAGGCAATGCCTTCCGTTACACTGATGCCCCAAGCCGTGTCTACACTGGCTCCCTCAGGCAGTATCCACGATATGCACCAACGTGTGCATGAGTTTCCCTGAGTGCTGCCTACACTGAGTTCCTCTGCGTATCTATACTGGTTCCCCAGACACTGTCTTCTTTGACACCCTTCCTGCCCACATCACCTACCCTGGGCATGTGGAAAGTAACACACACACACACTGTCTACCGTGGCTTCTCTGCACAGTGTCTACACTGGCCTCAGCCCACCCAGCCTGGACTGACCCGCCCTCGATAGTTCTCCCTTGTCTCCTCTTGCCAGTCCATCCCGTTGCTTTAGGATGCCACTTATTCCCTCACCTATCCACCCCTTCTGGAATTCTCTTCATCTCTGAGCCAGCTCTCTCATTTCCTTAGACCCCCCTGAGGTCTCCATCTCTGGCTATGATGACAACTGGTACCTCGGGCGTAGTGAGGCCACCCTGAGCTGTGATGTCCGCAGCAACCCAGAACCCACAGGCTATGACTGGAGCACGTGAGTCGTGAGTGGACCCAGATACCTGGGTCTGAGGGGTAGGGGGTCAGAGGCCTGGACTCCTGGGTCTGAGGGAGGAGGGGGCCCAGACATCTGGGTCTGGGGGAGGAGGGGCCAGGGGCCTGGACGCTTGGTTTGGAGCAGGAGAGTGCCCCTCAGAGATGCACTGACATCCAGACACTCACCCGAAACATCGACTTGCACACCCGGGGCTGGGAACTCCTGAGTCCTTAAGGAAGAAGACAGCTGGCAGTTTAGGGCTTCAGGGGATATTTGGAGCCCTGCTGGCACAGTGGTGAAGAGCTTGACTGCTAACCAGAAGGTCAGCAGTTTGAATCCACCAGCTGCTCCTTGGAAACTCTATGGGGCAGTTCTACTCTGTCCTATAGGGTCGCTATGGGTTGGAATCGACTCAATGACTACAGGTTTCTTCTGGTTTGGGTTTAGGGTACGTTTTGGGTCCTGGGAGCCTGGCTCCTGAGGGCATGTGAGCAGGGACCAGGTCTGTGTGCCCGTCAGTCCCAGTCTCCCTTCACCTGACCGCCTCCCCCACCCCAGGACGTCAGGTGTCTTCCCACCCTCGGCAGTCGCCCAGGGCCCCCAGCTGCTCATCCACTCAGTGGACAGACTGCTCAACACCACGTTCATCTGCGCAGTCACCAACGCCGTGGGCACGGGCCGCGCCGAGCAGGTCATCCTCGTCCGAGGTAAGCGGGTCTGGGGGCAGCATGGGAAGACCCCAGTCTGCTCCCTAATCGTCCCACCCTCTGGGTGGGGGGGGGGCTGTGCCGCCGACCTGCCTTGCTGAAGGGGACGAGGGCAGTTGGCTTTTCCTTCTGGCCCTGAGGCTGGAATCTGGATTTGGGGTGACAGGGATGGCATGAGGAGAGGAGTTAGGGGGTGAGGACTGTGCTGGGACCTTCTAGTAAGGAGACGCCAGAGAAGCTCCAGGGGCTCCAGCTTGGGAAAGACACACCCCCATAGCACCATACACGCGGACAGTCGGACAGACAAGAGTCGGGCCTCTAGACAGAAGCACAGTCGGCACCGGGACACGTAGCTGGGAGGAAAGCAGTGAAGCCAAACTAGGCCCAGGGAATGGGCTACTGAAAACGGATTGTGGAGACCCCACACCTGGAGGGTCAGGGGCTGCTACACGCTGTACGCCCCAAGACACAGACACACAAGAGCAGACTGGGAACAGAGCCTCCCCACGTCAGCACAGCCGGCAGGACCTGCACCTGCAGAGACCCACCCCATGCCCCTCAGAGACGCAGTGACATCCACTCACCTGAAACATCAACCTACACACTCAGCCATTGTCACCAAGACACGTCCCTGAGAGAGCAGTGGCTCCAGCCAAGATACGCTGAACAGAGAGCCAGGTGATACCCAGCCAGAGCCCACGAGATGCCACACAGACCTGGAAAGGGCCAGGCTTAGGAACACCTTCCCAGCGCGGCCTGCCCCGCAGCACACCTGTGCACACACCACACCAGGAGGCTGGAGGGGCGGCCGCTGCGGGCGAGAGCGGAGCCCCTCAGAAAGCAGGCAGACACAGAGAGGTAGGCCGTCCCTGTCACACACACACACACAGACACACACCGACAGACACCCATGGCCAGAGACAAACAGACCATCTTAGTGAGACATAATATCACACGACATGCCACACACCACATACATATCTACACACACCACACACTGCATACACACCCACGTACACCACACACACTACATACCACACACTACATACGCACCCACGTTCACACACACTATATACACACCACATACACACTCACACACATCCACACACACTACATACACACCACATCCATAGCACACATTATATATACACTCACACACATCCACACACACTACATATGCACCCACACACATACATATACACATCCACACTTACTACACACACCACACACTGCATACACACCCACGACATCCACACCATACACTACATCCACACACACATCCACACACACCACATGTGTACACACACACACACACACACACACACACACACACACGTTTGGAAAGTCACCTGAACATGAGCAGACCCCTCCTCAGGGAGTCAGAGACGCTCACCGGGAAGAACGAGGTACTTAGAAACACTGTCCCGAACAAGAAACTCAGAGAGACGCTGGCTCAGCCTCGGCAAGTCTGATACGCTGACAGCACACAACACACACGTCTGGGGGGGAGGACACTATCACACCCAGAAGCAAAAAGAGCCTCAGTCAGCACCAGTCCCACGTGCAGAAACATCATGGCTCACACACAGAAACTGGGGAAGAAACTCAAAGACGTTCCCAGGGTACACGCCCTCAGAAACTCTCAAGAAACCCCTTTGTGGGGATTCTCATCTAACAAATAGTCATTGGACAAACATTTGTTGAGATTTCCTCTTTGCCAGCCATCCTGTTTGGTGGTGGGAATACAATGGTGAATGAGACACAGTCCCTGCCCTCAAAGGTACGCCCAGGGGAGGGTCAGCTCCACCCACCAGCAAGACACCGAACTGGAAATACACCCTCTGAGCCTCTCCACGAGAAGCACACCCGAGAGCTTGCCTCCCGCTCCCACTCAGTCAGTAGGCACCTCAGAGGCAGGGAGCCCACAAGACCCAGACACAGTCACACTGAAGGACTATTGGAAGAAGATACAACCCCACTAAAACATGGACACCCCCAGCACACAGCACCACTCTCAAGAGAAAACCCCAAGGCCATCCACTACCGGAAACACACCTCCAGCCTCAAAGAAAACACAGGCTTCAAAATCCAGCCCTTCAACAATATATTGTTGTTGTTAGCTGCTGTCAAGTCGGCTCCACGCACAAATGAACACAACGCTGGCTGGTTCTGCGCCATCCCCGTGACTGATTGTGGATCAGACCATGGTGATCCATAGGATTTTCACTGGCTCATTTTCAGAAGTAGATCTCCAGGTCTTTCTTCCTAGTCCATCTTAGTCAGGAAGTGCTGTTGAAATGTGTTCAGCATCTAGCAACGCACAAGCAAGCCTCCGCTGACAGATGGGTGGTGACTGCGCCTGAGGTGTGTTGGCTGGGAATGGAAGCCGGGTCTCCCACATGGAAGGCAAGAATTCTCCTACTGAACCACCACTGCCCCTTGAGCAATATATACCCACTGCAGCATACACACGGAGCCCTGGTGGCCTCGTGGTTAAGAGCTCGGCTGCTAACCACAAGATTGGCAGTTCGAATCCACCAGCCACTCCTTGGAAACCCTGTGGGGCAGTTCCACCCTACCCTGTCCTATAGGGTTGCTGTGAGTCGGAATTGACTCGATAGCAGCCGGTTTGCCTTGCAGCATACACATACTCAGAAGCCCCGGCAGAGGCCTAGACAATCACGCTCCCAAGAAGAACACTCAGCACTGTAAAAGGATCCTCCCTTCTCCCCCGTTCCCGCCAAAGATAGCCACAGACCCTAGTCAGAAACAGCATCGTACACACACCCCCAAAGATGGAGGCCGACACACACTCAGAACACTAGAAATCCAGTCCCGAGGTAGCAAGTGCGCCCACACAGGTACCCACGCCCGGAGAGGAAGCACGCTCAAGTCTCTTGTAGATTCACGCGCAGAGACCTGGTCCCTAGTCCCACACACACGCATACTCAGGCACGTTGTCGCAAAACCACATTCAGGCTTACCTGAGTACAAATGGAGATTCCCCTGCCACAGGCCAGAAGCTGCACCTGCCACAGGCCGGAAGCTGCACCAGGGCAGCCCCGTGAGCTTTAGATCTGCAGACACGCAAACACATCCAGCTGCCATCTCCAAAGCACCGTTTACAGAAACTCAGATAGCGTTCCAACACTGGCTCAAACAGGCTGGAGACCCTGGGTGGTGCAAAGAGTTAACGCACTCAGCCACCAACCAAAAGGCCGGAGGTTCAAGTCCACTCAGAGGTGCCTCGGAAGAAAGGAAGGCCTGGCAATCTACTTCTGTAAAATCAGCCACTGAAAACCCTCTGGAACACAGGCCTACTCTGACACATGGGGTCACCACGAGTTAGAATCAACTTGACGGCCACTGGTTTGGCATTGTAAGATAACTTTCACAGCTTGACCCAGGGTACCATTATAGACATATATATTCCACCTCCCCCCCCAAAAAAAATATATATATATATACACATACATAATGGTTAAATGCCTGGCTGATAACTGAAAGGCTGGCAGTTCAGACCTACCCAGCTGCTCCTCAAGGGAAAGACCTGGTGATCTGCTCCCATAAAGATTACAGCCTAGAAAACCCTATGGGGCAGTTCTCTGTCACATGAGGTCACTATGAGTCGAAATCGACTCAACGGTACCTAACAACAACAATCCCCACAACCACCACCACCCCCAAAAGATGTGTATGTGTTTATATACTTGCATACATAGGGTGGCTGACTTGGAATTGACTTGACAGCAATGGGTTATATACGTATAATCGTATAATAATTTACCTTTCATACTTGAGACAAATTTTTTCTATTCTATTTTTTTTTAAATGCTGTTTGTAAGTCACTAACTTGATTTGATAGCTCACTGGGTAGGGACCCCCATATTTGAAAACATCATTCTACAAGAAACACCCAGAAGCATACCCCCCAGGAGCAGATCCGCTTGGGCCTTGGTCCCACTGCCTCAGCCCCTCCTGTGGCAGTGGGGTGGGGATCAGTGAACCCCCACAGATCCCGCCCATCAGGCCCTGCCTGTAGTGGTGTGCAAAGGAGTATGTGTGAGAAGGTTCCAGTTGCTTGATGTCTGTGCCTGGTTTGGGCCCCAGAATGTCTCCTCACTCCCTGTGTTGCCCTCCCCAGCTTCCTGTCTCCACCCCCCTCCTGCCCCCTATAGAACCCTCCAAGCTTAGCCACCGCAGGGCGCACTGTGGGAGGCCAGACACAGGGACACGTGGCCCAGACAGGAGGCAGCCGGCTGGAGTGAGCAATTAGAGGAAGCCCGTGCCCTTCTCAGGAGTTCCTGGGTGGCTCAAACAGTTAAGCACTCGACTACTAGCTGAAAGTCAGAAAGTTAGTGGTTCAAACCCACCCAGAGGCGCCTCAGACGACAGGTCTGGCCATCTGCTTCCAAAAGGTCGCAGCCTTGAAAACTCTGTGGAGCAGTTCTACTCTGCACACGTGGGGTGTCCATGAGTCAGAATCGAGTCCACGGCAGCTAACAATAGCTACCCTTCTCAGCCCCAAAGAGCTTTGGAATCTGACAGCCTCAGGGTCAGATGCTGGCTGGGTCCGCCCAGAAATGCCCTGACCCTGGCCTCAAAAGATTTTGCGAGTTTCCCAGCCCCCAGTGGGTCCAGGCGGGTACCAGAAATGAGTAACCACCTAACCAGCCTTCACCCGCACAGTGATGACCAGATGGAAATGGGAGTTTGGTGTGGCCAGGTCACCTGATTTTTTTTTTTTCCCCTAATTGAGGTCTGGACTTTTAGGCAAAATCAATGAATTATGAAATGTCAGCTAATTGTTTTAGTTTTTGAACAACACCGCGCAGATAAAAGGAAGCACAATCTAGCAGCCACCAGTTTGCCACCCTACCCACATACAGAGTGCCCAGCCTATGTCAGAGAGGAAACGGGGTCTCCCGCCCCCACCCCCTCCACCTCTTCCTCCATTCTTCTGCCCAGTCAGGGTGCCCCCCTAATTCCAGTCACTGCCCCTCTTGCCCCAAATTATCCTCTTGATCTCGTGTCTCCCTTTCTCTCTCTCACCCTGTCTTCTCTCCTCAGACACCCCCCGGGCCTTGCCCCGAGACGTGGGTCCTGTGGTGTGGGGGGCCGTGGGGGGGACACTGCTGGTGCTGCTGCTTCTGGCTGGGGGGTCCTTGGCCTTCATCCTGCTGAGGAAGAGGAGGAGGAGGAAAAGCCCAGGAGGAGGAGGAGGAGGTGACGACGGTGGAGGGTCATACGATCCGAAAACACAGGCATTTGGGAACGGGGGCCCCGTTTTCTGGACCCCAACAGCCCCTGGCCCCATGATGTCAGAGGGCAAGGACGAGGGCCAGGAGGAGGAGGAGGAGAAGGCAGAGGAAGACCTGATGTTGCCTCCACCCAAGGCACTCTTGGAGGACGACATGGAGTCCCAGCTGGACGGCTCCCTTATCTCACGGCGGGCAGTCTACGTGTGACCCGGATACAGACAGACAGAGAGACAGAGCTGGGAGGGGGCCCCCCACTGCCCACCAGCCATGCCAGCAGAAGGTTGTGGACTGGTTGGACTTGTTTATCTGGACCACACTGGAGTTGGAACGCTCCTTCCCGACTGTGCTGGAATTTGGAGGGGAGGGGGACTCGCACACTGGACTTCTGTCCCCAGGGCTGCATGGGAGCAGGGAGGCCCCTGGGAGCTGAGTATCGGGGACCCAGGAGGGAGCCCCAGAGACTGGTTTTGGCTCTGGCCTGCCCCCTGCCCTGGACACTCAGGAGTTAATAAACACCTTGGAGGAAACTGGCAGGGGTGTCTTGTAATACATCAGACCCCTCTTGGGTCTTGGGGGGAAAGTGGGAGGGACAGGGACGACCGGGTCCCAAAGGTTGGTGAGGCCGAAGCACTGAACTCTCCTAGGTCCCCAGGAATTTTGAGGTGGGGGGGTGTGGGGGCTGGTGGGGGTCAGACCAGGGAAGGCTGGGTGGATCTGACCGCTTGGGTCCTTGAAAAGCACATTGGATGCCTGAGACCCCAGGCGAGGGGACTAGGAACCAGATCAGTGAGGTCTGGGCTTCAAGGCCGGGACACGTGGACTCCTGGGTCCCAGGACAGGGGCTGCATTCCCAGGTAGAACTGGCCGGATGGGTGGGAGCCTAAGTTCCTGGGAGATTTGGGTCCTTGTGTAGGGGCAGCAGACAATCCGTGTCCAGGGTCCTGAGGGCAGGGGAAGGTGGAGGGGCATGGTCTGATGGAGAGGAGGGCTGCTTCACTTCCTGGGGCTCCAAAGGTATGGGGGGGCAGCACTGGGGACAGTGGGCCCCTGAGCAACCAGGGGAAGACCCACCTCCAACGCCCACATGTGGCCTGTCCCAACCTCCTTCCTCTTCCCTGGCCCCAGGGCCCAGCTGGGAGGGGTTTTCAGTGATTCAGAGGAAGGGGCTGGGGCTGTCCCAGAATGCCACACCCTATTCTCTCCAATCCCTGACAGAGGAGATGCTGGAGCTCCCAGGCCAGGTGTGAGGGCTGGAAGGGGCAAGGTTCAAGTCCTAGCTCTGCCTTTCACTGGACCTTATACTGGGCAGGTTACCTCTGCTCTTGGAGTCTCAGTCGCTGCCTCTGTGAAATGGGCGTGTTGTTAGTCTCTCCCTCATCAGACTATTGTGGGATTCAATGAGGGCGTTGCGGAAATGACCTTGGTACAGGGCTGAGCAACCAAGTTCATTTATTCAACCAGTGTTTACTTCCACTTACTCTGCGGGTCCTGTGCTGGCTGGTGCTGGGGACACGGGGACCGAGACACACTTAGCGCTGCCCTCCCGGGACGCACCGTCGATAACAGCGACAGGAATAACCGTAATTTTAGAATGATGGATTGGGCTTGAGCGGCAATTACTGTTATTCTCCCCACCCTCTAAGTCCATTCAGAGGGTGCCAGGCTGTGGAACAGGAAGTAGGAAATGAGATGGCCCTGGGATCCAGACATGGAGCCCCTGGGTGTGACAGAAGTTAAGCGCTAGGCTACTAACTTAAAGTTGAAGGTTCAAATCTATCCAGCGCCACTTTGGAAGAAAGGCCTAGTGATCTGCCTCCCAAATGTCACAGCTTTGAAAACCCTATGGGGTGCAGTTCTACTCTGACACACGTGGGGCTGCCATGAGTCCAACTTGATGGCACCTAGTTTGGGATCCAGACATCATTCCTCTGGGAAGCTTTATCTCCTCATCGGTAGAATGGGGCTGACGTAAAGCGTGAAACCTGTGGGGCTTTTGCACGTGTCTTACTCTCCCCTGCCAGCGCCAGGGCAGGGATGGAGAATTGTTTCCCTCTGCATCCCAGTACCAGTGGGACCTGGTATACAGTAGGTCCTTGAGCAGCCACGTGGGGCGCCTCTTTATGCCTAGCAAGCACCTACTGTGTGCCAGACCCTCCTGGGCTGGGGATGCTGTAGGTGGGGCAGCTCCAGGCCTGCCCTGTGGAGCTCACGGTCTAGTGTGGAAATTGACAAGTAAACAGGAAATTGCTCCATAATCACTTCCTTAGGAGAGGCAGAACTGCTAGGAAGGAAGGGTCCGGGGGGCCCTGAGTCCCTCTCAACCCCTTTTCCCATTAGGCTGGGGGCGCGATGAACCTCCACTCAGGATGACTCCATTTCTATAATGAAGGAGGTTCTGCTCCCAATCCCAGAACCCACCCCCGTTCTCAGCCTTTTATCTCCCCCACCCCGCCCCGTCTCCTGGCCCCATCTCGCTCTCCTGCCAGGTGGACTCCTTGCTGTTTCTGAGAAACACCACTCCGCTCCCACCTCAGGGCCTTTGCGGCGGCTGTTCCTCCTTCCCAGAATGCTCTTCCCTCATCCCCTGGTGGCTTGCCCCCACCTCCCCTTCACGTCTTGGCTCAGATGTCACCCTGTTAGTGATGCCTTCCCTGGCCACCCTGTTTAAAATTGCTTTGAGCCTCTACTCCATCACTTCCTATCCCCATCCCCACGGTGTGTCATCATCCTGTGTCACTTGTCCCTACCTGGCATCTTAGATATTGTATTTGTGTTTACCGTTGGTCACCCTTGCCAATGAGGACGTAAGTTCCCTGAGAGCAGGGGCTTTTGTATGTCTTGTCCTCCCCTCTGTCTCCCATGCCTGACACACAGCAAATGCTCAGTAAGGGTCCCCTGCCCTTGAGACGAGGGAGGCAGGTGAGGGTGACTGGGGGCGGCACTGGCAATCAGGGGCTGCAGCTTCCTTCTGGAGACGCCCCTCATGCAATCCCTCTTCTTGCAGAGACCCCCAACACAGCAGGCGCGGGGGCCACAGGCGGCATCATTGGGGGCATCATCGCTGCCATCATCGCGACCGCTGTGGCCGCCACGGGCATCCTCATCTGCCGGCAGCAGCGGAAGGAGCAGAGGCTGCAGGGGGCAGAGGAGGACTATGAGTGAGTGATGGACCCTGAGAAATAGGCGGAGGTTGGGGGTGCAGGGAAGCCAGAACTAGGGTGCTCGGGGTGGGGGTGAGTGGGAGAGAACCATCCTAGGTGGCTGTGTGGAACTATGAGACCTGAAGTAACTGTGACTGATGTGAGGGAAACGTTTACTTCTCTCTCCTGTAAAGGCCTGAACTGGTACACTAGCTCTGCTCTGTGAAGTTATCGGAGCCCAGGTTCCCGCTATCTTGTTGCTTCACCTTCCCTACAGTTGGCCCTTGTCCACATTCCAAGATGGCTCCCCACTCTAGGTGGAGCCATTCATCAAGGTCTATGTACATGACAACCAGATGTGGCCATCCTGCCCTGAAGGCCCCTGTTGCTCTAACCAGTGGGAAGGGGAAAGGGAAATAGAGGGCAGGTTGCTGCTGAGTAAGGGAACAGCTGAGAAGTTACACTTGCCACTTTTTCTTGCTTCTCATTGGCCGGAATTTAGTCACATGGCTGCCCCTAGCTGCAAGGGAGGCTGGGAAATGTAGTCTTTATGCTGGGTGGCCACGGCCCTGATTAAAATCTCTTACTACAAGAAAGAAGGAGACCGGATATTGGGGAAAACGAGCCACATTTGTCTGAATAGAGCACTTATTATGTGCCAGGGTCGGTGAGATGCATTTTACATGAAGTTTCATTCAATAATTCAACAAGTATTCAGAAAGTACCCACTCTAGGCCAGGCCCTTGGGGCTTAGGGACTCAACAGTGACACAAACATTTAAAAAGTGTCCCCACCAGTAAATGTATCACAGAAACATAAATTCTCAGAGAGAGCTAATGATACCCGTTTTGTCTAGGAGGAAGCAGGTTCAGGGACCTGAAATCACTTGGTGAAATTCACCCAGCGAGCAAGTCTTTTTGTGGCCAAATGTTTCTCAAATAACACCACCCAGTGTGTGTGATGGAGTTGGGAGAAGAAACTCATCAAAAATGCACATTCCTGGGCCTCACCCTAGACCTACTGAATCAGAATATTTACATGAAAGGCTCGGAATCTGTATTTAAACAAGCTCCCTAAATAATCCTGATGCACAGGGAAATGTGTGAACCCCTGTCTTAACTGCCTAGTCAATTCAAACCAACAACTTGCTAATGATCTCTCTCCCGTGCCCAGCTCGATGCAGGGACCCAGTGGTGCCTGAGACAGCCCTGGTGCTGCCCACCGGGGCTCACGGTCCATAGGAGGAGATAGACCCGTCCCCAGATAGTGACAGCCCAGCACGGCCGGGGATGGGATAGGACAGCTGAGGGGGCTGTGAGAGCCCAGGGCAGTCAGGGCGGGCTTCCTGGAGGACAGGACATCCGAGCTGGGGATGAAAGGCATAGTAAGCACCCTTTAGGGGGCAGTGGTGGCTCAGTGGTAGAAGTCTTACCTTCCATGTGGGAGATCTGAGTTTGATTTCCAACCAATGCACTTCATGTGCAGCCACCCCCATCTGTCAGTGGAGAGTTGCATGTTGCGATGATGCTGAACAGGTTTCAGTGGAGCTTCCAGACTAAGATGGACTAGGAAGAAAGGCCTGGAAATCTACTTCCAAAAATCAGCCAACGAAAACCCTTTGCATCACCATGGTCTGATCCGCAACCAATCATGCGGATGATGTAGGCCTGGGCAGTGTTTCATGCCACTATACATGGGGTCAACTCCACAGCAGCTAACAAAAACAAGTACCCTTCACTATTATATACACAGGATGCCATACAGTCGCTGTGAGTCGGAATCGACTCGACAGCAATGGGTTTGGTTTGGTTTGGTTGTTTTGGTCTGTGGTGTGTAGAATGAGGGAATTTAACCCAAGTTTGGGGGACAGGAAAGCACTTCTCATTCGTTGTTTTTACAAGTACTTACCGAATTCCTCGTAGTGGGTTCTGGGGACACAGTATTGACGACCCAGACATCATTCCTTCATAGAGCTGACAGTGGGGAACAACAGCTGACCCATATTATAAATAATATTTCCAATACGTACTCAGTAAGTGTCCCCAGGGGGCTATACAGAGTAGATAGGACCATTCTCGGTCAGGAGAATCAGAGTGGCTTCCTGGAAGAAGAGGGATTTGTAGGATGAGTAAGAGTTCACCGGCGGGGGGGAAGGGGTGAGGATGGAAAGGAAGTTCCGGGCAGAGGGAACAGCATGTGCACTGACCCAGAGATAGGGGTCCTTCTTGAGTCTTAGCCTCCACTTGACCCACCTCCTACCCCACAGCCTGGAGGGCCCTCCCTCATACAAGCCCCCGACCCCAAAGGCGAAACTGGAAGAGCCGGAGATGGTGAGCACTTCCCCTGGAGCCCAGGCTACCCCACCTCCATACCCCGGTCTCCCTACCAAGGCCAGGGCTGGGAGGGGGTCTGGTGGGGAGAGGCCGGCTGTGGGGTGGTGCTGATCTGCCCCTCTCACTCCACTACAGCCCTCCCAGCTCTTCACCCTGGGGGCCTCAGAGCACAGTCCACTCAAGACCCCCTACTTTGATGCTGGCGTCTCACGCACTGAACAGGTAGGACCTTGGGGGCAGGACAAGGGTGGGTTCGGGGTCTGGGTTTCAAGGGCCAGGGGTCCAGCCCTGACATAAGAGATCAAGGACTAAAAGTCACAGCTGAAGGTCAGGGCTATGTCTCTGGTCAGAGCTTGGTGCACAGAGATGTGTTCAGGGTCAGGCCTGAAAAAGTCCTAGGGCATGAGGTTAGAGTGTAAAGGTCACATGGTCCATGAGGCTTGGTTGAGCATCTGTATTTGCCAGATACTGTGCTAGGCGCTGGGACAAGACAGTTACAGGCACTACCCTCAGAAGTCAGGGTCAAAAACAGAGGCTGAGACAAGCCCAGGTTCCAGGGGGTATTGAGGGCTCAAGATTAAGTAGTTGGAAGTCAAGATTGAGGTTGAAGATCTTGGGGGAAAGACTTGGGTTCAGGGACCAAGGGAGAAAGGAGCGGCCTAGGGACAGGGTGAGGTCCATGCTTGGGTTTTGGGTTAGGGATGAGCTGTGTGACTGTCCCAGTGCAGTACTGACCCTGGGGACAAGGGGGACAAGGGGTGAGGTCACTTCTGGTTGCCATGGGAAGAGGTGGTCAGGATTTGGAGGTCAAAGGGTAGATTGGGATTCTGTGTCATGCCCAGGAGGTGACCTTAGGCTCCCACTCTCTCCCCGCCCCCAGGAAATGCCTCGATACCATGAGCTTCCCACCCTGGAAGAGCGTTCTGGGCCTCTGCACATGGGGGCCACGAGCCTGGGGCCCCCCATCCTCATGCCCACGGGGTCACCTGCTGTGGAAGGGGTTTCCCTGGACCTAGAAGATGAAGAGGAGGAGGAGGAGGAGGAAGACTATCTGGACAAGATCAACCCCATTTACGACGCCCTGTCCTACTCAAGCCCCTCTGAGTCCTACCAGGGCAAAGGCTTCGTCATGTCCCGCGCCATGTATGTCTGATCCCTCAGCTTCCTGCTAGGGATCTAGTGCCCCTTGACCTCTGGCCAGGCCACTGCCAGTTAACACACATGCATCTCATACGTGACTTCTACCTTGATGGCTCCACTATGGCCTTTAACTCCTGACCTCTGACCCAGGGAAACCCGCCGAGACAAGGGAAACCTGGTAACCTTTTCTCTTGAGGTCATGGGAGTATGTTTCTGTACAACCTTTAACCCAAGGATTCCTCTCAAGATTGTGACCTTAGAACATACCTCTCATCTCCCCACTGACATCTCCAAATTCCCCCACTATCCCAAAGAAGACCCCAGACCTCCGATTTGTCCTTAGACAGTAAATTCCCAATTGCTCTGCTGGGATGGGTGGTGGGGGCTCCTTGCTGCTCAGACCTGAGCCCTCCAGGCAGCAGAGCCCCACTCACCTTCTGCTACCTCTGTCTAATCCCCGAAGGAGGCAGGGATGGAGGGATCCCCCAGCCCAAAGCAGAGCTTCCCATCTCTTCCCTCCTGCAGGCAGGAGTCTCAGGACCCAGACCCTTCCCTGAGCCCCCACCACCCCAATTCCTGTGTACGAGACATGGAGCCCCAGCCCAGGGCTAGATGTGGTGACCCTGGCAGAGTGTGCCTTGATGTCCCCAGCCTTGGGAAAAGAATTTGCTGTTACCTTGGAGACTACTGAATCCTTTTACCCCTACCCAGTGGAATGGGCACCCAAACATCCCCCTCAGGGCAAAGTGGGCCACCTGGGTTGGAGGTAGGGGACCTGATACTGTTTTGTACACTAACATTTCCTACACAATATGAGTTTATACTTTGACCAGGTCTTGCGTTTTCTGTGGGATGTAAGGGGATGAGGGTGGGGCATGATGGGTAATGCATAGGAGGCCCAGGGCTTGAGGGTAAAGGAGAGGAATGGTGGACTAGAGGTCAAGATGAGTTACAGAAAGAAACAGAAGGGCCAAAGATATGAAAGGGGGGAAAAAATGAAGTGAGAGAGCAATGAGCAAAAATGCATAAATCTGAGGCAGAATGATGGTCATGGAGAGAGAGGGGAAGGAAGGAGTCCAGGGCATGGTTGGTAATGAAAACTAATCAGTGCACTAGCGGTCTACTGGGTAATGGACAGAAATAAACGGAACACAGATAGAAACAGCAGTAACTAAGGGAGATGGGCTTACGGTTGGTGGATAAATGACAAGACTAGGCCAAAGGCAAAATGATCAATAATGTTGCAATAGGAGCCCAGGGCATGATGGGTAATGGATCTGAATGAATGAGCCAAAGGCAGAGTGATAAATAATGTAGAAATAGGGGTTGCGGACATGATGGGTAATGGACAGGAATTAATGGGCCTAAAACATGATGGGTAATTAAAGGAGAAGGGCTAGAAAATTGATGGAAGTGAACAGGCAGGAATGGGCCAAAGGCACTACGGGAAATCAAGCTGAAACTAATGGGCGGAGGCATGACGGGTAATGGGACAGGAATGAATGGGCCAAAAATAGAAATTGCAGTGACAGGATGACACAAGGCATGATGGGTAGCGAAAGGGGTCGGCCAAAGGCAGCTTTTGCGTTAATAGGTGACGGAGCATTGTGGGTAACGAGGAGCTGGGAAGGGTTCACAAAACCGGGTAGAAGTCTCCCAAGGTACTGTGGGAAGGACTGGCATTTCCGGTTTTCGGTCGGCGGCTTCGGATCAGAGGGCTGCCCCTATGCCGCGGTGCCTAGTGGGACGCGAGGCCTGACCTTGCTGCCTAGCAGGTCTGCCGCGCAACCCACCTTTGTCCCTGTCCTTCGACCCTGGCACGTTAGCCAGTGAGTGCGCCAGACTGATTACGTCATCGGGATCGGCCCGCTGGGCAGCTGGAGCCAATCAGTACGCTGCAGGAGACAAAACCGACCAATTATCATGGTAACACTGCCGCGGGCGGAGTCGAAAGAAGAGACCCTTCAGGAGAAGGGCGCAGCCGGCGCTTCAGTGGGCGTTGCAAAGTGTGCAGCACAGGCCAATGGCGGGAGAGCACCGGAACCCGCGGCTTCGCGGGCCAATAGGCGCGGGCACCCCAAGCCAATAGGAAGAGAAGGGAGGTGCGCTGTGACCTGCCTGCGAGCACAGACCAGTAGAAAATGACGTTCGGAAGAGGTGGGTGGGACTCCCTTCCATGGCTCCAATAGCAAGGCTAGACCTTGGACCTGGTAGGCGGGCTCCAGGGCGCGCTTTACCAATGGGCTGGGTGGGGCGGGGCGACGGTGGTGGCGGCGGCGGCGGCGGTGGCATAGGGTTTGGTTGCGCGTGGCGCACGGGGTGGGAGCGGAGCCCAGGCCGGGAGCAGGCGCCGCCGGTGCCAGTGAGAACCGGGGCCCGCGGCAGGGTGGGAATTAATTGGGGACTGGACCTGGGGCGCGCCGGGCCCTGACCTCCGGCCTCTGACCTCTCCCCCGGAGGCGACCATGGGGAACGTGTTGGCCGCCAGTTCGCCGCCCGCTGGGCCGCCGCCGCCGCCTGCGCCCGGTCTCGTGGGACTACCGCCACCTCCGCCCGCGCCGCCGGGCTTCACACTGCCGCCGCTCGGGGGAGGCCTGGGAGCCGGGGCCGGTGCAGGCCGAGGTTCGGAACGGAACCCCGGGGCCGCCGCTGCCGCAGGCGCCGCAGGGGCCGCAGACGATGGGGCCTGCGGTTGCCTGCCAAACCCGGGCACGTTCGAGGAGTGCCACCGGAAGTGCAAGGGTGAGGGGAGAGGGGCTCCGGCGGGCCGTGATGGCCCGGATCTCGAGGGAAAGGGGAGATAATTGGGGACCTTGGAAATTGGCGTGAAGAATTGAAATCCTTTAACCGAGTGTTAGAGGTTGACGTTGAGATCGAATGGTGGAACGTTGGGTTTAGGGTTTAGAACGCTGGGATCAAATGGTGGGACTCAATGTGGAATGCTAAGGCAATGGAAAAATGCCTTAGGTGCCCCGGGGATCAGCCGAGCCAGTCTCCTCGTGTGACCGGGGAGGGAACTGAGGCCCAAGGTCACAATGTCAGCAAGGTGTCATGGTGGGAGTGGAACCCAAGGCTTCCGGATCCTGACTTGGAAGAATTAGTATAGTATTAGTGGTGGAGACTGATTGAACCCCAGTGTTAGCATTCATTATAGGTTAGCTCCTTAAATCCTTGCAACAACTCTATCTGGGGATTATCTCCATCTTACAGATGAGTTTAATGTACAGAGAGAAAATGGCTTGGCTAAAGTCACACGCGTAGTAGATGGTAGCACTGGGATTTGGTCGCAGGCAGAGACCCTGGCCCTGTCCGTGAGCCTGTACTGCCTATTTACTGGTTGTGGTTGGGCTGCTTTGTCAGATATTCTGCTTGTGGGTTCCTGGAGAAGGGAGAGCTGGGGAGGTAGGGATGAGAGTTGGTGTGTGGGGTGGAGTGTGACAGCATTTCTCTTTTCCAGAACTGTTTCCCATTCAGATGGAGGGTGTTAAACTCACAGTCAACAAAGGGTTGAGTAACCACTTCCAGGTGAGCCCGCCTGTTGCCCTTATCCTCCAAAGGTCATCCCAGTCATCCCCCTGCATCTGCACAGACAGGCCCCTTATGCTTCCCTAAAGAGCTGGGCCTCCCTGGTGCTTGAAAAGACTCAGAGACACAGTGCCAGACCGACTGCTTAGTGGGGGCTGATGGTAGGGTTTGGGGACCTAGAACCCAGAAAAAACCTTCCCTCCAAATAGCATCCAGGCAGGACTGAAGTGCCAGGTATGTAGCCCCCCCACCCCCAACCAGTGCATCCTTTCTCTTGTGTTTCTAGTCCAGCCAGGCCACACCTCCTAGTCTTCATCTCCTGCCCAGCCCAGGGACCCCCTGCTGCCTTTGCCCTCCCCCGGGGGGAGGCAGACTGGCATGTATGCCCCATCCCAGGCTGGAGGGGAGCTCTGGTGAGGGTGGCCCCCAGTCTCATGCCCACAGCCCTCCCTCTTCTCACAGGTGAACCACACAGTAGCCCTCAGCACAGTCGGGGAATCTAACTACCACTTCGGGGTTACGTACGTGGGAACAAAGCAGCTGAGTCCCACAGAGGTGAGATTCCTTTCGTGATTCTTTCATTGTATCTTTCTTTGAACAAACATGTAGCCAAACGCCAAGGCTTCATCAGGAGAAGGTCAGAGGTGCTGGGGTGTGGAGAGGTTGAGACAGTGTCTCCAAAGTGCATTGGAACACAGGGAATGCCTTCATTCCGCAAACATCCCCTGAATCCCTGCTCTGCGCCAGGCCCTTTGCTGGGTGATGCCAGGGGCACTGGGGTGACCATGACAACTTCTGTCACCAGACAGTGATGACCCAGGTGGACAGGGCTGAATGTAAATTGTGCGGGGCTTTGAATGCCAAACTAGGCATTTGGATTTTGTCTAGAGATCATCGGAAAGCCATGGGAAGATTTGAAAGAATAAGACGTCAGATTTTCTGCTTTAGAAGTGTTCTTCGGGCTGTCTCATGGAGGCTAGATTAGAGGAGGGGGAGAGGCAAAACGGGGGGCCTGGAAAGAGGTTGGGGCAGGACCCAGGCAAAAGAGGAATGAGGACTGAACTAGGTCCCTGCCTAAGTGCTTGGCTGCTAACTGAGAGTTTGGTGGTTAAGTTAACAGAGGATCCTTGAAAGAAAGGCTTGGCAATCTACTTCTGAAAAATCAGCAAAATTCTGTAGAGCATAGTTCTACTATGACAGACATGGAGTCGCCATGAGTTGGGGTTGACTCAGTAGCAACTGGTTTTGTTTTTTTGGGGTTTTTTTCTATTATTTCCCTTCACATTCATCTATTCAACAAACCTTCATCATACCCCTATTCTATGCCCAGCCCTGTGTTGGACAGTGGTGACCAAAACAGCCCCAGCCCTCATGGGGCTCCCAGTCCAGTGTGGGGGGCAGAGGGGAGACAGACCTATCCCCAGAGAAGAAGAATCCTGAGTGGCCAGGGCTGAAAAGAGGGAACCCAAAGGCTATGGAGCCCTGGTGGCACGGTGGTTAAGTGCTCAGCTGCTAACTGAAAGGTCAGCAATTTGAAGTCATCAGCCACTCCACAGGAGAAAGATGTGACAGTCTGTTCCCGTAAAGATTACAGCCTTGGAAACGCTATGGGGCAGTTCTACTGTGCACTGCAGGGTCGCTATGAGTCAGAATCGACTCAACAACAGTGGGTATGAAAGATGTGGGAGCCTAGAGGGATAGTGCAGCCTAGGTGGTCAGGTAGGGCTTCCTGGAGGAGGGGGCCCCAGTCTGAGGCTTTCTGATCCTAGGCTTCTCAACTAGGCCCATCACTCGTGTACTTCCATGGTGCTGGCCCTCTGACCTCTAACCTTGCCCTCTGCCCTCCAGGCGTTCCCGGTGCTGGTGGGCGACATGGACAACAGCGGCAGCCTCAATGCTCAGGTCATTCACCAGCTGGGCCCCGGCCTCAGGTCCAAGATGGCCATCCAGGTGAGTAGCGGCCTCGAGCCAGCTGCCGTCCCAGCCACGCTGTGCACCGGCTGCCCTCACACTTGCCCTGTCTCCCGCAGACCCAGCAGTCGAAGTTCGTGAACTGGCAGGTGGACGGGGAGTACCGGGGTTCTGACTTTACTGCGGCCGTCACGCTGGGGAACCCAGACGTCCTGGTAGGCTCAGGTAAGAGGGTGTTCCAAACCAGTTCCCTTCTCCGGTCTGTCTGAGAAATGGCCGGCGCAGGAGTGGTTTCCAAACCTCAGTGGGTGAGAGTGCACGTTCCAGCCCAGCTCCGCCGCTGTCTTAAATGTGCGTTAGGCAGGTTCCACCACCTCCCCGGCCCCCGGCCCTCCATCTGTAAAACAGCTGCCTCCCTGGGCGGCTGAGTAGGTTCTCTCAGTTAGCACACGGCGTGTGGCGGGAACCAGGTCCATGTGGGCTGCTCTGGTCCTTGTTCCTCGTGGGGTTCTCGGCTTGCTTGGAAGCACGGAGCAGCCCACAGGTGGGCCGGGGCTGCATGCTGCATCGGGGGTGGGGGAGTGTGAGATGGGGGCTGGCGTGGAACGTTCCTGTTGGGGTCGGGTGGGAGTGGGGACTGTCTGCTTTCTGCCTGTAGTTCTGTCTGTTCTAGTGTCTCCCCTTCCCTGTTTTGTCCGTGGGTGGCCTTGCTGTTTCTGCGTTCATCTAATGAGTATTTAGTGAGCGTGTATGCTGTGTCTCTGTGTGTATGTACACACGCTGTTCAACGCCGTACCCTCAAAAAAACCAAACCTGTTGTCGTCGAGTTGATTCTGACTCATAGCGACCCTATAGGACAGAGCAGAACTGCCCTGTAAGGTTTCTAAGGAGCGCCTGGTGGATTCAAACAGCTGACCTTTTGGTTAGCAGCTGTAGCTCTTAACCACTACACCACCGTGCCTGTAAAAACAAAAAGAGAAACAAACCCATTGCTGTCAAGTGAATTCTGACTCCCAGCGACCCTGTAAGACAGAGTAGAACTGCCCCCGGGGGCTTCCAAGCCTGTAATCTTACGGATGCCGACTGCCACATTTTTCTCTTGTGGAACAGCTAGTGGGTTCGAACCACCAACCTTTCATTTAGCAGCTGAGCGCTTTTACCACTGTGTCACCAGGGCTGTTTCAGTTCCTATATAGACACAGTTGAACACAGTGTAAGTACATATATATATATATGCATATACGTGTATATATATATACACACATATGTGTACATGTATAAGCATTGAGGGTACAGTTTTGAACAAAGGAGACTTGAATCTGTGCTCTCTGGGAGCTTCCATTCCAGAAGGGCAGACAGCGAGTAAACCAACACATAAATAAAAGATGTCAGATGGTAGGGACTGCTGAGAAGAATTAGGGACTGGGGCGGGGTGGGTGGAGTTCTTAGAGAAGGCCTCATTACCTGGGCCACATAAGAACAGAGACTGGAGTTGGCGAGGGAGGGAGCCAGGCAGTTATGTGGGGAAAGAGCTTTGCAGCCAGAGGAACAGCAGGTGTAAAGGTCCTGAGGCAGGATCACGCCAGCTGTGTTCAAGGAACATGAAGGAAGACTGTAACTGCAAGTGAATAAAGGCAGTCAGAGAGGGGACAGGGCCACATTGCAGAGGGCTTTATAGAGCCCTTACAGGAGCATTTTGAGCAGGAGAGGGACTCAGGAAGCTAACTAACAGGATCCCTTATGCTGGCTTCTGGAGAACAGACTACAGGGATTCCATTGCAGTGGAGGGTAAGAAGTGCTTGGATTCGGGATGTAGTTTGAAGGTGGAGCCAGTTCCCATTTGCTGATGGAAGATAAGAGAGAGAGGAGTCGGGGATGACTCCAGAGTGTTTGGTGTGAGTACTGGAAGGGTGGCGCTGCCAGTTGTCAGGCTTGTGTGTGTCGGCTGCCACTGGCTCGGTCAGAGAGAGCACCGGGCTCTTGGACAGTGAGTACTGAGTGAGTCGTGAAGGTTGGAAGCCGGGGCTGGCTCAGGAGGCCCAGGAGAGGGATTGCTTCTGCCTGGAGGAGTCCAGGGAGACTTCCCAGAGGAGGTGTCAACTTGGAGCTGCAGAAGACAGAGAAAGGACGCCCCTGGCCGAGGGAAGAGGACTGTGTTCATTCCCTAGTGGTGTTGTAGCAGAAACACTGCGAGTGGCGGCTGTAACAGACAGATTTCTTTTCTCACAGTTTAGGAAGCTAGAGGTCACATGCAGGGGACCAGCTGTAGGGGAAGGCTGTCTCTGTCTTCTCTACAATAAAATCTTCATTTCAGTTTCTCTGTCTTCTCCCATTCTGGCTTCTGTCTGTGCTTAATCTGCTCATTTCTCAGAGATGGTGGGTTTAAGACACACCATACTCTGATATGGCCGCGTTTACGTAACAGTTTCCAAATGGAATCCCATCCACAAGTATCCTGTTAGTTGCCTTCCGGTTTATTCCAACTCAAGTGACCCCATGTGTGCAGAGTATAACTGCTCCATAGGGTTTTCGAGGCCGTGACCTTTGAGAAGCAGATGACCAGGCTTTTCTTCTGAGGCGGCTCTTGGTGGGTTCAAACCACCAGCTTTTGGCTAGTAGTTGAACGTTTAACCATTTCTGCCACCTAGGGGCTCCTATCTACAGGTGCAGGGGTTAGGGTTCCAGCACATACCGTTGTTGTTAGGTGCCGTCCAGTTGGTTCCAACTCATAGTGACCTTATGTACAGCAAAACGAAACGCTGCCTGGTCCTGTGCCGTCCTCACAATTGTTGCTGTGTTTGAGCCCATTGTTGCAGCCAATGTGTCCATCTGTCCCATTGAGGGTTTTCCTCTTTTTCACTGACCCTGTGCTTTGCCAAGTATGTCATTTTCCAGGGACTAGTCCTTCCTGATAACGTGTCCAAAGTATGTCTCGCCACCATCCCTTCTAAGCAGCATTCTGGCTGTACTTTTTCCGAAACGGACTTGTTCATTCTTGTGGCAGTCCGTGGTATATTCAATATGCTTTGCCAACACCATCATTCAAAGGCATCAATTCTCCGGTCTTCATTATTCATTGTGCAGCTTTCGCAGGCATGTGAGGACGTATTTTAGGGGGACACAGTTCAATCCATAACAAGGAGCAACAGCCTTCCTGGCAGAGCAGCTGGAGCAGGGGCGAGGAGAGAAGAGCTGGGCCAAAAACCTGAGAGAAGAGGGGAGCTGGGAAGAGCAGCCAGGGAGGAGGGGAGAAGGCCTGTGGGAGGGAGCATCCCTGGGAGCCCGTCAGAAACATTTCTGTCCCCTGCTGAGTGCTGATGGCATCACCCACTCTTCTCCCGTACAACAGATGAGGAAGGAGGAAGTTGGGGGACAGGGCCACCTCAGAGAGCTTCACTCAAGTGAGTGGGGCCACGGGAGCATTCTGAGCAGGGAGGGGTGGGATCTGCCTTAGCTTCTAACGGGATCCCTCATGCTGACTCTGGAGCTCAGAGCTGGTCACAGGGAGCCAGGTCACTTGGGCCACAGGAGCTTTTCCTATACTTCCTGGGACTGCCGAGTTCTCGCTACCCCAGAACCTTTTCACGCGCTGTCTGTGCTTTGGGACTCTTCCCATCTGCTCTTGAGGTGGCCGAGTCTTCACCTTGTGCTTTCAGTTCACATGTCACCCTCACAGAGACCTTCCTTGACAAAAGTGACCCACACCTTCGGGTTATTCCACGCTGCCCCCTCCCCTGGTCCTCGTAGCACTTGCCTGGGGGATTGTCTTGTTCTCTATCACCCATCTCTCTACTAGGACACCAGCTCTTTGAGGGCATCCTGTTTTATTCACCGCTGTATGCCTCATGCCTGGAACTGTGCCAGGAACAGAGTAGGTGCTCAGGAAAGGCTCAGTGAGCGAAGGAGTGAGTGACAGCGAGGGCAGGCCCCTTTGCTCTTTGGCAGGCCCAAAGCACATCATACATGTGATCTCCTTCATTCCATCGTTCCAGGTGCTGGGGATGGAGCAGTGAGGAAAACGGCTTGTTGAATCTTCTCAACAGCCCTGTGAAGCAGGTGCTGCCATTATCCCTGTCTTGCAGAGGAGGAAATAGGCCCAGAGAGAGAAAGCAACTTCCCCAAGGGCACACAGCGAGTCAGACATGAGCATCCATGCCCTTCTCTCTGGCATTAGGCACCTCACTCCAAACACCTCGCTGGCGTCTCATCCTTTTGTGCTCCCTCTTTCTTGCCCGGAGCCCAAGGTCACTGATGACACTTTATCTCTTAATTCTGACAGGTGTCTCTTCCTTCCCGCAGACACTCATAGGAACAGGGCCTCAGTCTGGGCTAAGCTAACTTACCACCAACAGCTCAGACCGGAGCAAGGCAGCTCCACCCCTCGCCAGCCCCGTGACCCCAGGTAGTGGCTCCACCCCCTCTGGGCCTCAGTTGCCTCTTCTGTCACTTGAGGGCACAACCGTAGCAACCACCTTGTAGGTGGAGGAGTCAGCGTCTGGTGCAGGGTCCCACGCGTGGTTAGCGCTCGTTCTCTGCCTGGAGCTCTGTGACGCCCCACAGTGGGCAGGGGTCGTCAGTGTTTTTATCGCCCCCATTTTACAGGTGAGGAGAGCGAGGCCCAGGTGTGAAGTCTGGCGCCCAGGATCACATAGTCTTCTTTCTGAGCACCTAGTGTACGCCTGGCCCTGGGCAGGACAGTGCTGGGCCACAAAGCAGGGACTGAGACGGCCCATTCCTGCCCTCACGTGGCTCCCAGACCAGTGGGGGAGACGTTGGCCTTTAAGCAAATAATCACACAGTTAACTCATTGCTGTTGTGAGGAACCCTACACAGGAGACAGTGAGGTTGCTGTGAGGGCTAGTAACGGAGGACCCTGTCTGACGTGGAGGGACAGCGACACTGTCTCTACAGGGTGTCTAGACCCTGGAGTGGGATTTGTCAGAAGGCAGGGCAAGAGAGAGAATAGTGCTCTAGGACGAGGGCACTGCATGGATGAAGGCGGGAGCCCAAGGGCCTGGGCTGGTCGAGGACAGAAGGAAAGCTCTCTCCTGTGGGAGCAACCGTTTCTCAGGTGCTTCCCCTGGTGCGTCAGCCCCGAGTGTCCCCGTTCCTTTCCCATGCTGCTTCCCCAAGCAGGCCTGATTTGTGCCCAGGCCAAGCAGGGGAGAGGCCAGGGGTGTGGCTGCCCTGCTGCCCAGCTGGCTGTGTCTCTGCTTCCTGGCCCAGCAGGTTTGGGAGGCCGCCTCTTCCCAGCCACCATCGCTGCCTCATGCCAGAGGCCTTTTCTTCGCCTCTCGCAGACCTCTGACTTACTTTTTTCCTTTCAAAAGGTTTTGAGCTCATCCTCAGTGGGTTCTTCCTGGCCCCTTGTGACATGGGTTGGGGGGCAGGGGATGTCTGCATTCATTCCCTTGTTCACAGGACACATTTTTTTTTTTTATTCTACTTCAGGTGAAGGCTTACAGAACAAATAGTTTCTCATGAAACAGAAGTATACATGTTGTTTTATGACATTGGTTAACAACCCCACAGTATAACCCTCTGGTTTCTCAACCTTTTTTTTTTTTTTTTTGGTGAAAATACACATAGCCAAAGATACACCATTTCAAAAATTTCTACATGCACAGTTCAGTGACATT